TATGATGCAGATCACCAAAAATTTACTATGTTTTACAACTCCCTATTGATCTGCGTGACATGTCCTGTGACTGATATTAACAAATCTATTACTATCATTGGCCGTATTCACGAATTAATCAATGGAGTTAAAGGAAAAAAAATTTTTTTTTTCAAGAAATATTGGTATATTATTATTCAATTTAATGAATTTAATTTTCAGATCATTTGGAATAAGTTAAATATTAACAAATATAATATTTATTTATATTGGGCAAGTTATAATGATGATAATAATAATAATAATAATTTAATTTTTTTTTTATTACCAACTTGTATCCATGGCATTATAATTATTGCCACTACCACCACCATTACCACTACCGCCACCATCATTACCACCACTACCACCATCATTACCATCACCACAACCCCTTATAGCTTTGTTCAAACCTTGCTTGATGTACAGTGCCAAAGGTCTATCATTAATAAATAAATTTCTTTGTTGTTAATTATTATTTCTCCAATTATTTGTATTCATAATTATCAAACAATAAATTAACTACTATTCTTATTATATTATTTCGAAATTTTGACCATGTAATTTTAAAATTCTAAATAAATTAATAACCTTATAAATCAGTCCCTTATAATTAAAAGCAAAATTTTTCTAACACAACCTTCCAAGTGGTTATAAGCGACTTTGTAGGGAACACTTTGGCACAACTGTTGCTGTTGAATTTGCTTTAGTCTGCATACTAGTTGAGCGATAATCTTAAAATAAGTGTGAAGAAAAGAAACACTTCCGACCTGGCGTAGAATAACCAATATTTAAGCTAGTCTTTTCTTTTAACTGTTGTTAAAAGCCCCTAAAATTTTTATTATGGTTGAAAATCGCTTGCTATATGAAAAACGGAGATTTTTTTTGAACGATAATACTTTTATTTGTGTAACGTTTATATTGAAATGACACTTGATCTGCAATGTCCCGCGACTGATACATTAATTTTAATGGTAATGACAATAATTATGATTTGTTGTAGACTGCTGAAGCTTATTTGGTTTCTTTATTTGAAGATACAAATTTGGTAGCCATTCATGGTAATTGATTCAATAATATATATTACATTATCCAAATTAATTAATTAATTCATTAATTATACAGCTAAACGAGTCACAATCCAACCTAAGGATATTCAATTGGCACGCCGTCTTCGTGGAGAACGTTCTTAAATATATATTTTTTGCAGAATTTATTTTTTCTCTTCTTTTTACTAACCAATTGATTAAGAAATTTAGTTAATTAGCTATGGTTAGTTTATAAGAATTTATTACTTAATAAAAATAATCACTTATATATATATCTTTTATGAATTTTTTTATTAATAAAAATTTTTTACCTGATCGTGTGTGTCAGTCAATAAAAGCTCTTTTGAACCAGTTCATATCATGATTTTTTATCTTGTTTTTTTGTTTTTTTTTTATTTATTTTTTATTTATTTGTTTTTTTTATTTTTTTTTTTGTCATTTTTTTTTTTTTATATTTTTTTGTTTGTTTTTTTATTTTTTTAGTT